CTTGTTTCCTCGCCCAGTGTTCAAAATCAGTGAATAGTGCTCATCTATTAGTGGAACAGAGCTGCTACAGAAGTCTGCAGAAAAACAGAGCTGTTAGTCAGACATTCAGCTGTAACAGAAAGCAGTGCATGTTATATAACAGTTCTGACCAGAGAGCAGTGTCTGTGCTTCTGTTTTACACGTCTGTTTTTTTCTCACTCTGTCTGCTTTCGTTTATGTGATAATGCAAAAGTTGTTGATGGGAATTGTTTCTTCTGGCTGGGAGTTTCCCAGCCTGTAGAAATCAGCCAAGTATTTGTCTGAGAAGTAAATGAATATGCAAATGTATCAATATCCAAACATGTTATTATATCAAACAAACATAATGTGAATTATTGCAAATTACAGTTTTTATAGGGTGAATGGAAGTTATTAAAGGAAAACAGCTGTCCAAACCGTTTTAGCTGTATATGGTTAAGTAATCCCAAACATCACATCACCTTGTTCAATGTATTGGTGTAAGTGTAGTTTTCCCTTCTTTTAAGGTATTTTCTATAGTATGTGTAAAAAGAAGTAAAATCAGAAGTCTGGATTTGGACTGGAGGACTGGAGGTTTCAGACAGATAACTGGTTGCTCTGATTTGCCATTAGGGATTTGTGCGTTCGTTTATGGCGGCTTTTTCCTGGTTGGTGTGACAGCTTTTTCAGGGTTTACTGTACCTCAACTTGCCCAATGATTTCCCAGTCTCTTAAAGTAGAGCCATGATGAAACCATGAACAAACTGAAGCCAATGACAGCTGGAAACGGTTGAATTATTTTTGATTGAGGCATCACATGTTGCTCTTAGAGACCTTTAAGCCTACCTTATGCTGTCTAACAGGTTTTATTTGAGTGGTTTCTGATTCTAAAGGTGTGGCAGTAATTACAACCTGAGTATTGCAGGTTGAATAGCAACCAAAATGTTTTTAATAACTCTTAAATCCTTTTTAAAAAGGAGGATGATGGAACGGTTACCACCTAGATTAAAATAATGTTTCCCTCCTTCATAATTTAAATCCGTATTTCTTTTGGTGTTTTTCTCCAGTTATAGTTTTATATTCAAATTGATTGATATGAAACATTAAGATTTAAAAAAAAAAGTGGAAACAGATTCAATTTGTTGGATCAAATCCTCTTTGCAATGTGTGGAAGGGTGAAACAACAGAGGCATTTGGCTCAGGCAAAAACTGATTGAATGAAAAGTTTGTCATGAGAAGAAGCAGCAATGAAAACCCAAAGCTCTGTGTTGTGATATTTATTGTCATCAGACAAAGAGTGGAAGGCCAGAAGAAGACTATCATCACTCCTTAGCCTTTTTGTGTGAAAGAGGTTTCAGAGTTCACCAGTGATACTCCTCTTTTCAGAGGTGAAACATGAACCCTTTACACTGGATTTCTGAAACCTAGCATTCCTTTCTAGTGCAGGATGAATAGTCAAAGCCGGAGGAAGTCTTAATACAATGAATGCACCAAGTCTGTAAAGGCTTTCAGTCAATGAGAGAGAAAGAGGGACCATCATCTACTGCCTATGCACTAGTGTTGGGTCCCGCACATACATCGAGTATATAGAGCAGAACTGTTTCGGTGTGCGTCTCATTTCAATAAAGTCACCTGGCCATTAAAAGAATTGACTTCAACACTAAATTGTGTTCATAAGCTCATCTGTCAACAGGATGCAACTTCCAAAAAAAAAAAGAATCTGAGCTTTTGAGGTTTCTCGTTGTGGTGTATTAATGATGAGACGCTTTGCACGCCTTTAACCACATTTACTTAGGTAATCGAAAAACATTATTACAGCATGCCAGCTGTGGCTCCAGTTTGGCACATCCTTCTAGATCTGTGCATAGCACATGGAACACAGGAAAAACTACGGAGAGCCCAGAAGCTCAATATACCACAATAATCAGAATGATCAGGAATAATAGAGCAGCTTCGAGGCAAAAAAGGTTTCAGC